CACATTTCATTTTAAAAAACTAACTAAATTTGAACAAATGACTAAACGAAAACAAAAAGTAAACATAAAGAGTAACTTGAAACAAAATGAAGTTCGACGTTTAACATGAAACCTTTCCATATGGTATGATATGGATTAATCAAAGATTACGAGCTCGAATCTTGTCAATACCCATTTAATAAAATTGTACACGTATCCAGTTTCAATGGGAAAACTAGATCATGCACGCAAGCAAGGGGGCACGTTGAGGATATTATTTAAATGATATGTATTTTGCCCCTCTAACAAATTAGTGTTTTAGATATGGGGGTGTATACATCTTGCATGGTTCTAAATAATGCCGTGAATTAAAGTATTGACATCTTGGATAAAAAACAAATGGGAAGACTTGACTTAAACCCCACCCCTTCAATTGATGTTTATTTTCTAGAAAAGATTCTCCAAAAAATTATGTACTTTCGGTAAAATTATTAGTAAACTTTTAGGAGGAATAAAGTTGGATGTGACGAAATTATGTTCATCATGACTTTAAGACATGGAATATCTTCAAACTTTTTTTTTATTGCAATTCTCTAGTTTGAAGAAATTCTTTTCTTGTAATATTGACATTTTTTCCACAATACACTGCTCTGGAAAATGAGCTATGAGAAAATACATATGACATACTTGTTAAATATATGAGTTCTACTAATGACTTGGAAAAGAGTTTGGACTTTTTTGTAATACGAAAGATGAGTAATTCTGANCACTACTGAAGTGGCATGACCTTTCGCCGTTGCATCATAGAAGTTGATTTATAATACGAAAGATGAGTAATTCTGATGCAATTCTGCTCAAAATTAGGTAGCCCACAGTTACTTTTACATTTGAAGACGTGAACATTTCCAATGTTAATCTCGGGCTTTATTTTACCTTTTCCTATCAAAAACCTCACTAAAACCACGGTACAGGGCAGGGCCATAAGCAATCGCATTCTTCGCAGGCTGGCAGCCATTCGTTGCCCTTGCCAGCCAAAGTGCAATTGTCTGTATGCATAATCGTCTTCAAATACTGTTGCTGGTTCAGTTTACTAAGCAAACCAAGGCCAACGTGGCTGCAATGTGCATTCTCATAAAAACAAGTTCTTCCATAAGCTCAGGATTTTCAATAATGATAAGCCATGAATTAGAGGCTGGTGAGTGATGTGGCAATTTCACAGGGATTTTTGCAATACCATTCCAGCAAGAGATTTTTCAGTTCAATGTTTAAACGGGAGTTAGAATATTTCTACCAACGTGAATGTGCAGCAAATTCAACTGAATAAACAACTTGTCATAGTCATAATGCTTGCTAGTATTTCATGATTATCAGGAATGGAATGCAAAAATCAGTTAGCCACATGGCATTTAATTCTCTAGAATATTCTTTGTATATATATGCTTATATAGGTTGAATGTGTATATAAG